GAGAACATTTGGTTGTAGGTATTCAATATTTTCTAAACAGATTTTTATCTGTTTCAACTCTGGGTTTAGCTGGATTTTCTATAATGATTATGTGTATGCTAGCTCTGTTTAAGTGCAACCACAGATGTTGAAAGGGCTAAACATAACTCTCAGTTGCTGCTTAGTTTTAAGATGGTAGGTTGACTATAAATAAAATTTTAAATATTCATTCATTATCTGAATCCTGGTCCCATCAGTAGTGTAACGCATTTGCCTGAAGTTGGTCAACTTCAAAAATTGTAATAGAACAAATACAAAGGTGTAGTGGGAGACAATGATTTGTTTCCTTCCTGGGTTAGTTGTTCTCTTATATGCCTTGTGAGTACATTTCTACCATCCATTGATCTTCCTTTCTATTTTGATCTGCCTGGAGAACTTAATGAAATAGCCATAGATCATTAAAAAGAAGTAAAAACAAAACAAACAAAGGAACGACAACAACAACACAAACCAGAAACCCACTTTGGGGCTACAAAGATTTGCTTACTCTTTTTAATTGCAGTCTTCTAAGCAACCGTTTCTCTGTCAGCCGTAACATGATTGGATTGCTTTACCACGAACCCATCTGATTAACTGTTTTGGCACTATCCTTCTCTGGATTCTGAGAAATAGCCCTTGGTAAAGTTCCCTGTCTAGAAAACAGATTTATTTTTGTTCGTTATGACTATGCCTGTCTACTTAGAGATGGCTGTGAACATCTGATTCGGAAGGTGGTGATATCTGAACCAAGATGTTGGACAGTGAGGCACTGGAGTAAATTTGAAACAAATTCAATTTGAAACCTACATGGGCAGTGAAATTGTAGTCTGGAATGGTTAGGCCAGAGATGGACAAGTGGACATCACTGGTACTGTTAGTAGTGAAAGCTTTTATAGCACACCATACCTCCAACCCCCAAAGAAGCTTCAGATGGGTCTTTCTTTCCTCCTTGAAGGTCAGGCCAGCTTTCCAGAGCTGTTGAGTCTCAAAAAAGAAAAAGGAGGTCTTGAGGTGGGTATGATTCCTGGGAGAGCTTGTACCTAATGCTTTGAAGGACGGGGAGAGCTCTAGTTCTTCTTCAGACCTGTGCTTTAATCTTGTTCTGTAGATCTTCCTCATGGGTTCAGAGTCAGAGGAACTCAGAATTGAAACAGAACGTTAGGAGGTTACTTCAATAAACGCTAACATGTTTCCTTATTGTCAAGGGAGATGCCAATGACAGTAAATGATTGGTTGAATCTGGTGTGCAAATGTGTGTATGGATATATGAATGTGTATATGGATGTATGTGTGTATGGATACATGTGTGTATGTGTGTATGGATATACATGTGTGTGTATGGATACATGTCTGTATGTGTGTATGGATATATGTGTTTATGGTTGTATGAGTGTATGTATGTATATATGCACGTGTATGGATATATGAGTGTATGGATACATGTGTATATGTGCGTATGGATATATGTGTGTATGGATACGTGTGTATGTGTGTATGGATACATGTGTATGTGTGTGTGTGTGTGGATATATGTGTATATGGATATATGAGTGTATGTGTATTTAAGTGCTATACAGAAATACATGAGTGTGTACACATGTGCTTGTGTATTTCCTCCAATCATGCTTTTTAAAAGTAGAATTAATCATCAATCAATATGAAAGTTAGAAAATTAACTAAAAAAAATCCAGATTTCTAGTTTCTTAGAAAAAAAAAGTTCAGTGTGTCTGGCAGTTTTGGGTTTGAAATCCTTTTTTTCCTACAGGTACCTGAAATCAAACTGTAGCTTTAGATAGGACAGACTGTCTTCACTCAACTGTTTGATCTTGTCTGTGTTTGCCATTCTTTGGATTGAGCTCCCTGGACTGATCTCATCAGTCATCTTTTCATTCAGTCAGTCAGCCATTGAAGTGAGTACCGAATGTGTGGTCAGTCCTGAGTACTGAGAGAGGCCAGCATGGGCAGGTGAGGCTGGACAATTTAGGTGTCATGTCCATCCACTGGGATGCTTGGGTTCTGGAGACGTTGGTCACACTGGGCTGGTCCTGAGGGCTTTGCTCTGGACTTGGGCTCTGTGAGAAGGTTCATGGGAATCCTTAAGACCACTCTGGGGAAGTTGACGATCATCTAAGGACTGATAATGCAGAGCCATTGGAATCCTAACATCCACCCTTGAGCACACTTGACCCATACATTGACCCTTGAAACAAACTTAACTTCCTTGGACCTTCTAAACCTGTAGTTTAGAGTTAGACCAAACTAAGAAATTTAAGGGCTGAAGGTGTCCTTATTTTCCATTTTCAAATAGACCTATATGGGACCTCTGACTCAGAAATGTCTAGTGACACAGTGTGTTCAGCATTGGACTGCTCACCTACTGGTTGATGGTCCAAACCCATTAGTCACCCTGCAGGAGAAGGTTTAAGCAGTCTGCTTTCAAAAGATTTATAACCTTGAAAACCCTATGGGTTGTTGTTGTTTGTGCGGTTGGGTCTATTTTGACTCATAGTGACCCTATATAGGGTTTACAAGGAGCGCCTGGTGGGTTTGAACTGCTGACCTTGTGGTTCAAACTGACCTTGAGGTCCAGTGCATTATCCTGCAACACCACACCAGAGCTGCCCTCTGGGGCAGTTCTACAATATTCTATATGGTTACTATGAGTTAGAACTGACTCAACAGCAATATTTTTTGGTTGTTTGCTTGTTTTAGTGTTGCTAAGGATCCCTGGTGGAGTCCTGGGGTGACACTGTGGGTTAAGGCATTGCAAAGTCAGTTTGAACCACAGGGTTGATGGTTCATGCTCACCAGCCACTCCTTGGAAACCCTATACAGGATCGCTGAGTCCGAACAGACTTGATAGCACTTAACAGCAGCAACAAGGAACCCAGGTGGCATGGAGGTTAAGCATTTGGCTGCTAACTGAAGGTTAGTGGTTTGAACACACCAGATGCTCCACAGGAGCAAGATTAGGCTACGAAACAACTGCTTCCGTAAAGATTTATAACCTCAGAAACCCTGTGGGGCAAGATGGCTATGAGTCAGAATTAACTCAGTGGCACTGGGTTTGGTTTTGGGTTTGACTTTGGCTGGGTACCTGAAAGATGACCAAAATATAATTTTGGCCACTAGGTATCTGGCAAAATAGTCTTGATCCTGGGTAAAGTTTCCTGGTATGATCTATGCCTCCTGTCTGAAGCATCTTACCATCTGTCTGTCCTCACAAAGGCAGCCTTGGATGGGTGGAGATGAGGAAGGACCCAGACAGGAAATTCTTTTCATTTGACTTAAAATTCCTTAGACGGCAGCTCAAGCTCTCTTTTCTCATTTTGCATCCTGTGGAAATGAAGAAAAGAGTGTGTCTCAGCTTCACCCACCGTGTGCACTTCAGAACTCCCTCCCTCCCCTGGCCACTTAGATTAGACTCCACAATCCTTGTTGTATTAAGTTGGGACTTGTCCTTTTTCTCTCTAGAGAGACAGTTCATGGGGGCATTTCGAGGTGACTTGGAAGAAAGTTCTGGCAATCTACTTCTGGAAAAGCAGCCATTGAAAACGCTATGAAATGCAGTTCTACATTAATACATGTGAGGTCACCAGAGCCGGAATCCACTCCAAGACAATCCCTTGGTGCCATCTAGCTTTAAAACATGTACCCAGCATCATCTTCATTAGATGAGAATATGACAAGTTCTCACAAAAGGCTGTGTGTTTTTATGGAATGGGGAGGACAGTGTGGTCTTTTAATGTCTCAGGACACTTTCATGCTTTTTCAGCTAATCTGAAACTCCCATTTGCTCACAGGTTATTTCTGACCCCGTCTCAGGGAAGCTGAGAGGAAGTGCTTTGTGGGCTGAGTCTGCCATCATGATTTTGTTTCCTATGTAGACATTCTTTCTTGAATACTTCCTATTACCACCACATCCATGCGATTTTTCTATCCCAGGAAGAGCTAGCTCCAAGTGGGGTGTCAGGAGTGTCTCCCCTACTGACCTGTTTGCCCCAGAGCAGAAGGCCAGCTTGAGGTGGAAAAGTTGATGTATTGCAGAACCATCTTTATTGCTCTACTAGTCTTAAAATCACACACTAATCATGTATGTGTGAAACACTGCTCCTACACGTCTTCCTTCTATGAGTTTCCAAAGTCATTTTTCTTAGTGTTATTAAATTTAAAGATTTTTGTTTTGTTTAGCCAACTTTCTCCCCCTTCCCTAAGAGTGCTTTGTACATTGTAATAGTCATTTCCAGACACAAGTTTGCCTAAAGTTCACTTGGATGTGGCACGCATATTCAATATTATGTTGTATTGCGATATCAGTACATAAGGAGCTGAGGGATTTTGCTCACGATTGTTACGCTTTATTTTGGTTGTTTTAGAAAACAAAGAATATTTTTAAAAGCTTCGTAACTTGAGATAAAAATGTAACTGTGCCACTTAATCATTTATTTTTCTTCTTTTGGGCCAAAATATCGAAACCTTTCAATTAGGTGGATGTAGATGAAAGCAGGGCTTTACCTCCCTTCCAAGCTGTTTATAATCTTGGTTTGTTTTCTCCAAGTAAGTAAATACTTCTGTTACCACATTTTGAATACAATCATTATTACTTCTCAAGCATGATAGTTTTGTGTTGTTCTTCTCAGAGGTATTGTCCAACAATAACATATAAAATGCATTCAGTATATGAATGCCTCCAAAGAATATGTCAAATTACCAGTTCATCATTCTTGCAACAGTAAGACAACATGATCAAGTCAGAGAATGCCTAAGGCTTATTTTCATTTGTTTTACTGCGGGTTTAAATTTACCACCCACAGTGATTCCAAATATATAAAAGCTTATGGGTTTGGTATGTTTGTCTTCTTGTTACATAGTCTTGATGTCCAAATCTGAATGTACTTAAAGTCTAGAGAACCAAACCCTAAATTCCTTTTCCCAATGTGCCATGGTCATGAGTTGATAGTTGCACTGTTTGCATAGTTGATCACCCTCTGAAGCCAAGGAATGTGAGACTGCTGTCCACTAAAATGGGCCTGAAAGTCACGTGGGAACCACCCAAAGATGCTGCCAGTAGACCCGTGGAGTATTACAACATTGCCTACGGGAAGTCACTGAAAAGCCTTAGCTACATCAAGGTGAATGCAGAGACATCCTCCTTCCTTATCGGGGATGTGGGTAAGTGACGTCACGATATCTTTCCCGACATTCTCCGTTGTACTCCTGGGATAACACTTTGGGCCTGGACTCCGAGCACCTATGGTTCTTTGGGAATGGACAGCAAAGTCTGGAGATATTCCTCATGAAAGCTGTTGCTTAAAGCCCTTCACCCGAAGCCCCGGTCTTTCCCATTATGCATTTTAACTCTTCAGTATTCCCTGCGCTCTCTCCAGATTGAAGTTGGAAGTAGTGTTTAGTGTCTGAATGGGCTTTTGGGAAATGTGTTGATCTTTTTTTATCTTGTAGAAAGTTGATTACTGGACAACATAATATCTTACCTAATGCTGAGATTTCTAATTTATAAAACTACTAAGGAGTAATCAAGTATAACAGCCCGAGATGTGTGTGTGAAATATACACCTTAACCACATCTGGGTCAAAGGTGTGATTTTCCCCCTTTGTTAAATTTGATTCCAGAAGTTGAGAATTTAAAAAAATTTCCCTAAACATCTTGCTTTGTAAGTACAGATGTCGGTGGCTTTGAACAGAGGCATTGAACTGCATCTTTTGGATCCGCTATGTTCTGATTTTTTTTATCCCAGGAGTCCCAGACTCCATTATTTTACCATCTTCTCGTGGTCCAATCATAAGATGGATCAGAAGAGGTCACAGAAGTCAGCTTCGATGAAAACTAGCTCCCACCCCCACCCTGAGCCAAGTTGGCATCTTGTTACTTTACTTCAGTGGCTTGTAATCAGCTCGTGGTTCCTCAGCATCGCTCCCCTGATAATAGATTGCAGCACCTTCCTTCTCTGTCTCTTGTACTGTAACAGAGCAGGAACTGTGGACAGGGAGAGCAAAAGGGTAAATTCTCTTCATCATAGTTTCAGCCTAAGGTACGGTCCTCGGAATCTCTTCCCCCTTACTACATGCCCCAGCCTCTGATTCCGAGGTTCCCTGGAAATTCTGTCTGACTGAAGGTCACACTTGCTTATTGAAACCTTGAGCTGTTTTTGCTGCATAGAGAAAAACAGGTGTGAAGAGAGCTGTAGATCTCTGTGAATAACAATGAGTGCCTCCCAAGTAACTTTCTGATTAGTTAGCGGTACAGGAATCAGACTCATGTGGATTAAATTTCTTTGAAATACAAATGAGTCCAGAGTGAATACAGAAAGTGCGGAAAAAGGCATGATCCTGCAATTTGATCTGAACCCAGAGCATTTCCCAATTGTCTGGCAGGGTGTGCCAAACCCTAAGTGCCACCAGCCCTGCCATTGTTAGGCACAAGTCAGACCAGCCTTGAACACAGCAGCCATCCCAGATGATGGCATCTGGGTGGCTTTCCTGGGCCTCTGACTTGCAGAAGGAGATTCTGTTCAAAGAATGCTCCTTGCTCTGAGGAATGTAACAGACATGACTGGCTTTGACAGAACTCTTACTTCTCCAATCCTTCATCCTCTCCAAGGCCCACAGACTCTTCTCTTCAAGGTATTGACACTTCTACTTACTTTTCACAAGACACTGATTCATTCTGAGGAAAACCAACACTAAGTTTTGCTTTTGAGAAACTGTGAGTGTAGGGTGCACCCACTTTGTAATATGGCATCTTGGTTTCTGTCCGCACCTCCCACAACTTCAGGAACTCCACCAAAGAGACCTCTATCGCTTAACCTTGACCCCCAGATACAATTGAAAAAGTGAAACCCAATGATTTCAAGTGAGCTTTTCTAAGATTCCATGAGATACTGTGCCAGCTTTTTGTTGACACAGTTAAAGACAACATGTAGGCATGCAAATTAAGAAAGGAGACCATTTCATGAATCTTTACATATTGAAATCATTATTATATCCTATGTGCTAAATCTTAGTTACATTGACATTTTCTTATTTTTTTGAGATTTCTGGAACATCCGTGTGGAAATGTTATTTATAGTTATTGACACTGTCTGTTAAAATACCCATTTAGTGGACAGTGAGTACATCCTATTCCTTATTTTTTATTTCACATGAAAAAGCTTTTAATGATACTTAAGAATTCAGTCTTTATATACTTACCATGTACTTTGTACCTAATAAATTTTGTTTTCTTTGGATCAAGCTCATTCCAGTTACATGAGAGAATTTTGGGGTGTTTTGATGAAAAAGAGAGAGAGAGAGAGTTAGGTTTGTCACTTAATTCAAGTTTTTATATTTTGTTTTAACTGGTATCAGGAAGGTGGTTAGTGAATCAAACTGTGTCATTCTTGGAGATGTGAAACGGTGGCTTGATATGAACCATATGTTTCAGAGCCGGGGGTAGTGTACTTTGTGCTGGTTACTGCGGAAAATCACAGTGGAGTGAGTCGTCCGGTTTACAGAGCTGAAAGTCCACCTGGTAAGTCTTATGTAGAATCAGAGGCGATGTTTGTGTTATTTAGATGGGAAGAAATGCCCATTCTTACTCCTTCAGGTCAATGGAAAATTTCCACGATTAATTCTTGAATAAGACATGTTTAGACTTGTCTAAAAAGTTGAAAGATAGCAACTAGGAGAAACTTGCCCCTTCTTTTAAGGTAATTGTGATGTAGGTTATTAGCATTTTGTCTGAAAATTTGGAGTGTATAGAGCAAGCCATGTGCAAGAAACCAAATGATTGTCCATAAAGCTTGGGTGTCCAGTCACTCATATGGCCTAAACATACCCTTCTGAAAACTGACGAAAAGATCATTTGGATATACACTAGGAATGTGCCAGAAAATGTGAAAAATCCAGTAGTCCTTGTTTCTAACGATCAAGTTGCGTTTTCCTAATTTAGGAGGTGAATGGATCAAGATTGATGGTTTCCCCATTAAGGGTCCAGGACCATTTAATGAAACCGTCCCAGGTACTCTCTGCTCATATGGTTCATGTCTTCACTGGAGCACAGCCTGCCAAGAGGGCTGTGCTTCTGTCCCACACGTGTGCTTACAAACCTTCGTGGAGTTCCATTGCTACACTAACGCACATGCCACACAGTCTTGTCAGCTGTCCTGTACCTGCTGTGCCAGAATGCAGCCAGTGTCACTTGTTTCTCATTGTTCTTTCATGGTCTGGTGTTGGGAATGTCTCGTTTGCACCTCTTTATTTGTACTCTGGGATGCTGTTGCCCTGGTAACAAGCAAATATGGTGGTTGAGATGGCAGTACTGCCCTGATTAGGATATTTGCACATCCTGGTGTGGTGCTGTAGGATCAGCACTGGATGGCTAACTACCAGGTCAGCAGTTCAAACCCATCAGCCAGTCCTTGGGAACCCTATTCAGGGTTGCTGTGAGTTGGAAACGACTCAAGAGCACTTAACAACACCTGTGAATGTGATCTACCAAACAGTGCCTTTTATTGGCAAATATGTTACATCAAGTTTTGTTCTCTTTTCTTAAAACCTTGGGCATATTTTTTGATACACTAGATAATCTGCCTTCCATCTCTGCTCCATATTTGTATGTATGTCTTACCATGTGGATGTTGTTGGTCATACTGTTTTACTTATTGAGAGAAGCGTTGGCATTTTCTTGTGTGTTTTTAAAATCTATTTAATTCACGGTGAGAAATAATGCAAAGTGAATGCAGTTATTTTTTAATGCAGTTGGGCAATATCATAAAGACCTCTGCTTTAGTTTGGTGTATCGTGTTTTAAAATGAATAAATCTGGCATTATTGTTGAGATTGGAAGGTGAGTATGTTGAAACCAATGACAGTAATCTGTTCTCAGATCAGATATGATGGGTTGTTGAAATCCCTTTTATACGAAAACTATCCAGAAAGGAAAGTGGTTTGTGAGAAAAGATGAGATGTTCTTGTAAACATATGTTTGAAGTAAGGTGATCACTGGACATTATCATGGAAATATAGGTGACTGGGATTGAAGGCCAGAAAAGAGAATCAGAGATTAGACATGGATTTAGGAGTTATGCTCTGGAAGTTGTAAGTAGATGCGTTTGTGAAGGGAGAAGATGAGAGAGCAGAAAGTCATTGGGAGACACTGACAATATAGCGGAGACAAGCGTCCAGGAAGTGTACAGACTGGGAGAGGACACTGACTTTGGATCTTCTTAGACCTGAGGAACTACACACATGTAAACACATGAACTAACTACACACATGTAAACTATACACATGTAAACACACCTAAACGGCTTAAATATTAGGGATGAATACACAGCACCTTGTATTTGAGACTTACATTTTGCGTTTCATGTTATAATTCTACTTGTATAATCTTCCTGACAAAGTTATCTGAATGACACTGGCTTCAGAACAACAATACGTTCTTGATTTTTCCGAAGTAATGAATTTCTTATATGTTCTTTGCTAGAAGCACTAGTGAGTATATGTGTTACCTTTATGACTAAGGTATGTGGCAGAAATCCTGAGCATCAGAGTCTGGAGGCAATTCAACTCCAACTCACTATTGGTTTTATAGACCATACATATATGTACTATTTTAGCTTTTCTCCGCAGAAGCCTTTACAGGCCCTGATTGGCCAAAGAGTGCTCTGTCCTATATGTCATTACATTTGCCATATGTTCTGATAACAAATGCTACCAGAAAAAATTGCTAGCTTAAAATGTTTGCAGCATATGCTAGAATGCAGAACTTAAAAAAAAAAAAAGCAAATAACAAAAGTAGGAGGGGACTTCAAAAAGTTCCTGGAAAAGTTCCATTATCTTTAAATTCCATTTTTCTGTGAACTTTTTGAAAGCTCTTTTGTAGATCCAGAATGTATAGATTTGGTTCAAATACTCCAGAAAAAAATATGAATAATTTATGAAAACTGATCAACAAGTCATCAACATTCTTCTGTGCCTTTTTTCATGAGGCTTAGTAAATAGGCTATGCTATTAATTTAAGAAATGGTTGTTGTTGTCACTGTTAAATGCTCTCGAGTTGGTTCTGACTCATAGCTACTCTGTGTAGGGTTTCCAAGTAGCAGCTGGTGGGTTTGAACCATGGACCTTGCATTTCAAACTGACTTTGCAGTCCAGTGTTTATCCTATAGTACCATACTAGGACTCCAGAGAAATGGCTAGGTATATGATACTCCTGCCAAACAAAAGAAGTATTCGGAATTCCTTATGTTTTCATTCAAAAGAAGAAATTTATCTTTTAAAATGCACATGTTGGCATCGGCTTCTGGTGTAGGTTCCAAAGCAGCTCCTCTTCTAGAATTCTATTTGTACAGGGGGGAAGAAAACCTGTTCTTGTATTTTTCTGGATGCAGTGACTTCAGCTTACTTAAATTCCAGAAAGCCCCCTTTTGCTGGCTTAGACCTATCGCAACCACATACTTCTTGCCTAAAAATAGAACTTCATTTCTTTAATTCATTCAACAAGCCTATAGTTTTCCAGACACAGTTTTTGGTGGAAAGGCTAGACAAGAACTCTCCTTAATGATGTTTTTATTCTAGTGAGAAAGAAAGACAATAGAGAAGGAAACACAAATAATGCCTGGCTTGGGCTCTGCTCAGGAATGGATCAGCACCATCTTCTCTGTACATCAAATGCCTCAGCTGTAAAGTGATGGTACCCAACAAGAAGTTGTCTCAGGCTTCTTTCAGCTTAGAAGGTTCATGAGTCGATGCCTCCAAGTGACCTGGTTCCACTTCTATTCTTGAGTGATCCTGTACTTTGTGAGCAATTGAGAACCATTTGCCCTAGAGGTGCAGTGAGTTACGTGTACATTGGACTACTAACCACAGGGTCGGCAGTTCAAGTCCATCACATGGGAGAAAGATGAAGTTATCTGTTCCATAAAGATTTGTTGTTGTTGTTGTCAGGTGCCATCGAGTCGGAACCGACTCATAGCGACCCCATGCACAGCAGAACGAAACAATGTC